TTTTTTTTTTTTTTTCTGCTATGCCGTTGTCATTTTCTCATAGATAATTGGAAGTACATTTTTTATTGCTATCTTGAATCCAGACAAGTTTGTACTTCTGTTGTTTCCTGGGTAAAAAAAAAAAAAATGAAATTAGGTTGCTCCCTAATAACTTTCAGAAGTATCAGATACATATTTTTCTAATGGTACAACACATATAAATATGTTATTAGACATATTATGTTAAGTGACCTTCCTAAAGTTAATAAAATTCATAAAACTTTAAAATATAGCTGATGCCTATTCTACTAAGTTACTACGAACATTGTTTCTTCAGTGTCTGCAAAATACTTGATGTTCTTTACATAAAGCCCAAAAAGGCATAAGTATTATCCTTATAATGCTTCATATGATTTTCTCTTACATGTACAGCTTACTAGTATATTTATATAATAGCAAATGCTTCTTTTATTTGATTTCTGGCCCTTTCTGTAGGCCAGAAGCAGAGTCTGCGAGTGGATTTGTGTCAGCAGACACTGCTTGGTTTCCCTCCTTCCCTTGCATGCTCCTTGGATCTGTGGACAGCAGTCTTAGGCCACCCCAAGAAACACTCTCAGTCATGCCTCAGAGAACCCACAAATTCTATTGTGATTTCCTTTAAATATTTTGATATTTTTCTTTTTTTATTTTAAAGAATTAATTGCCCTGGAATAGAGTTGGAACTTCGTTAGGGACTGTAAGTCCCATGATGACCCCTGGCGGCTCAGTCCTCACCATAGTTACTCCTATGACAATTTCTTAGTTATTTTTTGTCTCTGTGAGAATTCATTTTAGATGGTATAAGATGCTGATTTTTTTTCCATATCAAAGAAATATAGTACCTCCGTTTGGGCTGTGTATCTATTCTCCTTATTTAGCACGGGTATAGCCGTCTAAAGAAAATATGAAAGCCTTTCCCTTGTATAGCTTGTCTTTCAAGAACATTTATATTCAACATGTTTCAAAGATTTTTAAAGCATTGATACATTGAAATGCCTTTTATATTCCTTTTCTGTTTTGTTTTTCAAAACAGGGTTTTTCTGTTTAGGTTTGACTGTCCTGGAACTCGCTCTATAGACCAGTTAGGCCTCGAACTCACAGAGATCTGCCTGCCTCTTCCTCCTGGGTGCTGGGATTAAAAGCGTGCACCACCACTGTCTGGCACTTTTTATACTCTTTCCAGAGTTTAAATAAAATCATATTATGGACTAGATTATTTAAATTAGTGTTATCTTCTCTTCAGAGTACAGTTTTGACAACTGGACATGGAGCATTGCTATGGCCTCTTCCACTGGGGTGACGTCACCCTTGCCAGCTGTTTCTGCCTACTGGCCAGCAGCATAGGGATCAACATGGTAGCGCTCAATCTTCCTTTACTGTGGTTCTGCTTATTTCAAACATAGAAAGAGAAAATAAGGAAATCAGAAGACACAAAAAGGAAGTTTGGAAGGGTTAAATGGTGTGAAGAAAGACTACTAAGGGAAAACAGTATTTAGCACTAAATGATTATGTTCTATATTTTTCCAGTGGTCAAAGAATTAACTTGAAAAGTGCATACAAAATCAACTTTCACCTTTCTTCGTTATAAAGTCCAGATTAAAAGAAAAAATTAGCAGTTTGCAATTGAGCTCCAAGTCGTGTACTTACATAGCATGTGTAAGACTTCGGTTCAATCCCTAGCAACACACACTCATACACACAATGCACCCACGAAACTAAAGCAAACAAACAATAGGAAAAAGTAAAAACTCAGCAATAATATCTGAATTGCGTAGTTATTCCTCTCATCTGTTGTTTGGTTTTAGGCATCAGTAGACAGAAAGGGACTCTAGGGTGATGGGATCACAGACTTGGAGACACCATGGCTATTGCTTCCCACCTTACCCTGTTTTTCTATTGTGTTCCTTCTGTTCGCTTCTTCTCTGTTTGAGTTATTTTATTAATATCACTCCATGGGCCCTAGTATCTAAAAATAAAAATCTTGTCTGGAATTAGGAAGAGGTATTAGAAATGAGATAGACTGTTCCAGTCTAATTTTATGATAAGTTGATGAGTAAAATAGAATTTTATGTACCACTAATTGATTAGGGGAAATTAGTTTTCATAGGGAATTGCTAACTCTCAGGTCTGTCTGTCTAATATAGCCATTAAGCTTTAACCTCTCTATAGAATTGACCACTCCCATGTTTATTAAGAAGTGTAGGATGACCAATACAAAAAGGTCAAAATACTTGTCTTTTTTTTCTTCTCTCATACAAGTACCGTCTTCTTTTAAAAAATGAAATGTGTCTTGTGCTTGACTTTTCTGTAACAGACGACTGGAAAGCCTCTAGATGGTACTCACCAGCAACATGGGTTCCTTTCTCTCACCTACACAAAAGCCGTAACAAAAAATGTCCGCCACAAGTTAACTTCGAGAAATGAGAGAAGAAGCTTTCATAAATTATCTGAAGGTTTACCAGATGGCTCGCCTCATTTTCTTCATGAAATTCTTGTTTCTGCACAAGCGTTTGATATTGTGCTTTGCTTCCCTTTACTTAATGCTATTGCAAGCATATTTCAAACTAAGCCACCAAGGACCCAAAAGGAGAAAAGGAAGTCTTCTGGCCAGCCCCTGAGAACCCGTACGCTGACGTCCCGAAGTTTGCCTTTGATTTATATAAATACAAGTGTGATCAGAATTTTTGTTCCTCAAACCGCAAAAACACAGTCAGCTGTTGAAGGTATAGTTTTCTGGTTTCATTTTTTCCTGATGTGATTGGAGTATGGAGATGGGTGGGTGGAGTGCTTTAAATAATTTTCTCTGTGAGATATGAGCAAAAGTCTTATTAATATATGGACAGAAGTCTTATTTTACATTTTGCTTCCTTTTTCACAGGTATTACTAAGTATCTAACTCTGTTAATTTAGTTGAATGAGAAAACCAAGATTATTTTTTCTCTTTTAGTATTTTGCTGTTTGTAATTCTAATTCTGTATTCATTTAGTTTTCAAGATTGTAAATTTTTGTTAAAAATACAAAGTAATGTTGACAGAGGTTTTTGTCCCACCAGGTCCTACAGCTGTTTAATCCCAAATAAACACACAGAGGTCTACGTTAATCATAAACTGGTTGGCCTAGTAGCTCAGGCTTCTTATTAATTAATTTTTACATCTTATATTAACCAATTATTCTTGTCTTTGTTAGCCACGTAGCTTGGTACCTTTGTCAGCGAGGGATTCTCATCTTGCTTCCTCTGCGTCTGGGCAACAACTGCAGACTGACCTTTCCCCTTCCCAGAGTTCTGTTCTCGTCACTCTACTTCTACTTTTTGCCTGGCTACTGACCAATCAGCATTTTATTAAAAATAATACAAGTGACAGGATAAAGGAATGTTGTCCCACAGCAAAATAATATTCATAATGCTAAAACTTATGAAAATCGTGTTATAAACACTCTAACAGGATAGGAAGAAAACTTTGTCAAACAGACCAACATGGCTTCTCCGGGCTACCCTAGTTGCTTCTGGAAATCCAGTCTTTGATTGTATTAAGTTAATAATTCTTCTTCTACTCACAAGAGGATTTCAACATTTTAGTTTCCTCTAATGGATACAAAAAAAAATTGATTTAGGAGTTTTGAGAGACATTATAGCTCCGTTGTTTACACAGTGGGTTCTTCGATTACACAGACTGAGTTAAAATCCCAGCTTTGCTCCTTAGATTTTGAAGTCCAGAGCACATTAAGCTAAGTTCTCCTGTGTACGGTGGCACTAGTATTCTGTTGGATCGCAGGGTGCAGAGCATAATGACCTCTACAGTCTCTCTTCAGTGCTGGGTGCTTTCAGATGACAACACTAGGAGATGATGCTGATAGCAACAGTTCCGTGGTAAGTTCTCATCTAGCAGAATCATTCTCAAGAGGAAGTTGTCCCCTTTCTGTTAAGGCAGAATTCTGGACGCTTCATGTGACTCTCACTGTCAGGTGTCAGTGATGTGGCAGTACTGAAGTGTGACCTTTCTCACTCTGTCTTTGCCCATTCCCGTGGCTAGAATTACCTTGAGTGGGAATTAATAAATCATAGAAAATTATCTCTTAAATTGAGTGCTTGAAAGTTGTAGATAAAGGTGTTAGCGCATTCTCTATATGACGAGGGCCATTTTCTGCTTGTAGATTGGTACCTCCTTTCTGGGGCTTCACTATTCAGGAATTTTGATTCCTTTAGCCAATGGATTTGGGGGATTATGAATCTTAGGGCATGGTCTTGTCTATGTGAGGGTTTCTGGTCACCATGGAACTGGAGTTACATCTCTACTTTATACCTAAATAAATTATTAAGAACTCTTAACAGTTTCTTGTGGCATCTCATACCACTTCATAAAGATAAAAATAGGGTAAACTGGGAAAACTCATTGATCAATACCCTTAATTAATAGCAGAATCAATGCTTATGACTGAATTACTTCCTAGGGGCCCCACTTCTCAACATTATCACTTTGATTTTAGCTCCATTATAAGCACTTTGGAGGAACACATGTATTTAAACCCATAGCAACTACCTGAATAATCATTTGAGTATTGAGGTACAGGTCATAGTCTATGCTACATAGAAATATAAGTAGTCTTTTTTTGTCCTCCTAATTATTCTGTAGAGGAAAAAGACGTGAGTGACCAGTGGTAACAGATACTAAAGAAGAATACCTGATTACACACTGCCTTCTCAGAGTCTATTAGTGTCCGTTGTTTAGTTAACCTGGGCAGATGATCTTAACTGCAGAATGTATTCTGCGTGAATATTGCCAGTTACTAAGGTTTAATAAAATGCCCCTTTTCATTTTCATTATTTAAAAATATTCATTTCCATAATTTAAAGGTATTTTATAGACTTGTCAAAGTTCCTGCAGCTTCGGGTTATTAGCAGTTCTCTATATGTGTTCATTCCTACCTTTGTGAGTATAGAAATTACTCTCATATTGAAAGTTACTGTTTTTCAAGTGTGCTCTATTCGAACGCCCATACAGTTGCTTTCATCCTTTCACATAGTATAAAAGTGAAGGAGTCACGAAGAACAGGTGACCCTCTGAGCAAACGATGTGTACGCACCTGCTAAATAGACAGATAAGAGTCACATGTCCTTTGCAGATGTAATGATCTTTATGCCTTTACCTAGTTAGGTGACTGGCTAAGCAATTATTAGATAAATAATTCACATTAAGATTACAGAAGTAAAAAGATCATACATTTTTACAGTGAATAATTCTCCAAGGGCCATATTTGCCAGTTATCATTTTCTTATGACCATGGTAGAGATGGCTGATATAAAAACACTTAGATTAAAGGTGAGCATCCTAACAAACCAGGCTCCCACAAAGTTAGTCCATGCAGTAGAATTAAGTCCTAATGCCATTGTCCTTGGCTTCTCAGTCAGCCTTCCTTGCCAGCCACGTTCAGAGTGTCCATTTTGATCACATGCTCCATCACTCCCAGTTCAGCTGGCCTTGGTGAGCTCCCATTAGATCAGTTCCACCGTCTCAGTGGGTGGACGCACCCCTGATCCTGACTACCTTGCTCACGTTCTCCCTCCTTCTCCTCCTCATTTGGACCTAGGGAGCTAAGTCCAGTGCTCCAATGTGGGACTCTGTATCTCCATCCATCGCCAGATGAAGGTTCTATGGTGATATGCAAAATATTCATCAGTATGGTTATGGGACAAGGCCAGTTGAGGCACCCTCTCCTCTGCTGCCCAGGGAACAATCTGGGGATCTCTCCCTGGACCTGGGAACCCCTCTAGAATAAAGTCTCTTGCAAACCCTAAAATGACTCCCTTAGTTGAGATATTACTTCCATGTTCCCATATCCATCCTTCCTCCATTCCACCCATCCCATTCCCCCAAACTATCCCGAATCCTCCCCTTCTCCCTTCTCTCTACCCATCTCCCCTTATATCAACCCCCCAACCCCACCCCACCCCCTTTAAAAACCTGTATGGATGGGGAAGGACCTTGGACTTCCCATGGGGCAGTGAACCCTGACTGCTCTTAAGACTAGAGAGGGAGGGGGAGGTGGGGGGGGGGAAGGAAAAGGGAGGTGGGGAAGAGGTGGAAATTTTTAATAAATAATAATAATAATAATGATAATAATAATAATAATAAAATTAAAAAAGCAAAAAAAAACCCTTAGATTAGCAAACATTCTTTCATTATCAGTTTTTTCCCCCATTTTCATTTTTTGAGCCAGGGTTTTTCTATGCCTTGGTACTTCACTCTGTAGACCAGGCTTGCTTCAAACTCACAGAGATCAGCCTACCTCTGCCTCCCTGAGTGCTAGAATTAAAAGCAAGTACCACCACTGCCCCGCTCATATTCCGTTTTTGTTTTATTTTGTTTTTGTTTTTTTTAAGCTTCAAAGTATTGAGAAGGAGTCGGGTGCATGCCATGGTGGCATGTGGAGGGCAGAGAACAATTTGGGAGTCAGTTCTTCTCCTGGGTACAAAGAATTGAATTCAGAGCATCAAGATTGGCAGCAAGTGCCCTTATCCACTGAGCCACCCCCTTATTTAATTCAAAATTTGCTTATAAGGTATCTTATAACCCAAAGATTCTTGGCAGAATGTATTTTATATTCTCTATATCATAAAATATCTAATTTCAGTTGATATAATAGGCCAAATTTTATTGAAAACTAAGACAGAAAGTGATATTGGAAATGACAGGAAGAATACACATCAGTAGCATGTTCAGAGGAGGTTCTAAGCATGAAGACCAAAGAATGAGGAAATAGGACCATGTTGCCCCGCTTTTATATCACTGAAGTGCTTGATACACAATTTTATTAATTGCCTGTAGCATGTTAATTGTCCCTAAAGTGAGTCTTTTCTTGCATTATCTCTAATACTGTTTTCTTTTTCTTATTTTCTGTTTGTTGTATGTTTGGTTTGGTTTTTTCTTTCCCAGTGCTGAGAATGGAGCCTGTGGCCTCATGCACACATTACCTCTGGGCTGAACTCCTAGCCTAGTAGTTAATTTCTTAGAAATCCATTTCACATATTATAAGTCAATATTGATCGTAAATATAACTTTTAAAAAGGTACATGGGTTTATTTCATTATCAAATTACCAATTTTAAAACCACACCAAAACTAGGAAGCAGTGTCAGCGAGTTAATTTTTCTGAATGAATTAGTATAAGATGCTACTTTAATAACATCCATCCCAGCCATGCCCATGGACTATGCCTGCAATCCCAGAAGCAAGGCAGGGGCAGTAGTATTGCCACAAGTTCAAGGCCATTCTGATCTTCACAGTGAGGTTTCAGCCAGTCATCCAAGGCTACAAAATTAGATTCTGCTGCACCTGTGTTTGTATGTACATGCGTGTGTGTGTGTGTGTGTGTGTGAGAGAGAGAGAGAGAGAGAGAGAGAGAGAAAGAGTGTGTGTTTGTGTGTGTGTGTGTGTGTGTGTGTGTGTGTGTGTGTGAGAGAGAGAGAGAGAGAGAGAGAGAGAGAGAGTTAGTCATTTACTGGTATGGCTGACTCCGATATACCTTTGAGGTCCTCTGATTTGTATTTACCGTGTGTTTGCCTTCACGTATTATATCTGCTTGGTGTCCTGAATGATTTTCTCAGGCTCTGATATTTGTGAGCAGAAAGTGTATTTTCACTGTGAGTTGCATCTTAGTTTCTGGCACTTTTTCATTATAGTATTCCTAGGAATTGTTTGAATGAATCCAACTCCATGACAAGATTT